TTCTTTCTTTCTTTCTTTCTTTCTTTCTTTCTTTCTTTCTTTCTTTCTTTCTTTCTTTCTTTCTTTCTAAAACAAAACCAAAATCAATGTCCTTGTTTTTGAGACTCACAAGCCGTGATTGCATATATTTTGTTTCATCTTTCACAAAAGGGATGGCTGACTAGACTTTTATTACAGGAGGTTTTTTTCCTGTCAGGAAGGGAGGGGGCGGGGGTTGTAAACGCAGGTAGGTGTCCGTTTTGATCTGTCGCTAATCACAGGAAGTGAGGGGGTCTGTGTCTTTAAGGTTGTAAATTCCACAGATCTGCTTTGACTTACATTCTCAAAGGTACCTCCGAAAATATTTTTGTTTTTAAATAATCTCGTGCTATGGTCTGGAAATTGTCTATTATGCCCAATATACCTCTGCCCTGTTATCGTTAAAAACAAAACAAAACAAAAATAGTTGTATCTTTTGCCTGGAGCCCCAGCCTAATCTGAGGGAAGACATGGTGGAAATATTTGGAGCTGATTTTCTGCTAAGGCAATGAATAAGATCTAAAGACCCATTGGTACTGGAGATGAATGCACCAAGTAGCTTCCTAAAAAAGGTCTTCAAACCTCCCTCTCCTTGTTAATAATATTTGCCCTAAAAATATTGAACTTATTTTGCTTAAACATAGCCCGAAGAGAGGTCAACTGAGCGTCTCCTATGGGGGAGGACAGCTATTATTATTATTATTATTATTATTATTATTATTATTATTATTATTATTATTATTATTATTATTACTTGTATTATGGTTCTGTTTCGTATATTCCACTAGGTTGATAGGCTTATGTAATTAAAGACAAGTTAGAGGTTGGTTGTTGTATTTTCCTCCCCTTTTCCTTCTGTTCTATATTGTGTACTTTTGTGGCTGTGATGCATAATATACAGCAGGAGAAAATCATACTTTACAAAAATGACTAAGATTTGTGATCTAACTAGGCTTCGCAGTAATAAAAATAGAAACACACAGACACAGACACACCACACCCACACTAAACAGCTTTCCTTGGAACTCTGAGAGCTAAAAGGTTAGGGACATGCTCAGTAGGCATATAGGCAGAGTAAGGCTTTGGGTATGCTTTCTTTATTGCTACATCTGATTAAATACATTTAAGTGAAAAATTAACAGATTATCAAAGAGATCCATTTTCGACACCCACAAAAAATGATCTGAACCTATGTGTGTATATAATCTGTGCTGAAGGCTAACTTCTTTCTGTAAAGTAGCATTCAGTCAATCCCTCTCTCTCTTTCTCGCTCGCTCGCTCTTTTTTTCTCTCTCTCCCCGGTATGGTGAAAAGTGACCTCTTTCCATAAAATAGCATTCAGTCTCTCTCAGTGTGTGTGTGTATGTATGTGTGTATACACATTGTGCTGTTTTTATAAGACAACATTCAGTCGATGTACGTTGTAAATGAATTATCTAATAGACATTCTCCAATTAAAAACAAAAAGCCTCCATTATTTTTGCTTTCCTGACAGTTTGGCTAGGAATAAAACATTTGACTGTTGGGGGCGGGGGAGGATCTTTACCTATAGACACAACCTGACACTTTACATCTGTCTCTGCTTTCCTTGGGTACCTGTCCCTGTCGAAATTAATTCCCCATAATACTGTGGAGAACAGAAATATAAGCTTTAAAAAAAATAGTCCAGTCTCAAAGTTGCTGGGTCATGTGTAAGCGAATAAGTGGAGTATGAACAAACCTATATTTTATGTTAGTTTCCTACCATGCTGCACTGGCTGATGCACTATCCCTGAACTAATATCTAATTCCTCTTAACTTATTCCAAATGGATGCTTAAAATAAGATTTTCGGATCTAGAGAGTCTGTTATTATTAGTATTAGCTGGCATTCTGTTCTGCCCTCATTTCATCCCACCTTCCACTTTTTCACTGAGCCAGTCCCAGCTGCTAAACTCTGGATGGAATCCAAACAATCTGTTGCCTTTACAGCCGCGTTGCAATCTCATGTGGGTACATTTCTGGTCCCCTAGGTGTTCACCTTTCCCTTTCCCCAGGTTCCCAGGTTTTGGGGTGAAAACCCTTTAGCCTTTCCAGGAATCGAACAATTATTCAATGCATCCGAGGCCCAACTGAACAAGCTTAGCCATCTTTTTGCAACAAGGCAGCCGATTTCTTATCAGGTTTGAATTGATGCTAGAGGCCTGGTTCTGTATATCATTCTTGAGATTTCTCTTGTCCAACTACGCGGCTCCTTTTGCTTCTGTAGGCTTGACTAATGACTGTTGCAAACGACAATGCCTGCAGAATTCTAATCGCCAGGATGAGTCGGGCATCATT